GAATTCTCTAGCTTTTTTGATGATCCAACAGATGTTGGCAATTTGATCTTTGGTTCCTCTGCCTTTTCTAAATCCAGCTTGAACACCTGTAAGTTCTCGGTTCACGCACTGTTGAAGCCTCACCTGTTGAATTTTGAGCATTTACTTTGCTAGCATGTGAGATGAGTGCAATTGTGTGGTTGTTTGAACAATTTTTGGCATTGCCTTTCTTTGGGACTGGAATGAAAACTGACGTTTTCCAGTCCTATGGCCACTGCAGAGTTTACCAAATTTGTTGGCATACTGAGTGCAGCACTTCCATAGCATCACCTTTTAGGACTTGAAATAGCTCAACTGGAATTCCATCACCTCCACTAGCTTTGATCATAGTGAAGCTTCCTAAGGCCCACCTGACTTCAGACTCCAGGATGTCTGGCTCTAGGTGAGTGATCACACCATCGTGGTTATCTATTCATTAAGATCTTTTTTGTATAGTTCTTTCATGTATTCTTGCCACCTTTTCTTAATATCTTCTCCTTCTGTTAGGTCCATACCGTTTCTGTCCTTTATTGTGCCCATCTTTGCACGAAATGTTCCCTTGGTATCTCTAATTTTCTTGAAGAGACCTCCAGTCTTTTCCATTCTATTGTTTTCTTCTATTTCTTTGCATTGATCTCTGAGGAAGGCTTTCTTATCTCTCCTTGCTATTCTTTGGAACTCTGCATTCAGACGGGTATAACTTTCCTTTTCTCCTTTGCCTTTTACTTCTCTTTTCTCAGCTATTTGGAAGGCCTCCTCAGACAGCCATTTTGCCTTTTTGCATTTCTTTTTCTTGGGGATGGTCTGGATCACTGCCTCCTGTACAATGTCATGAACCTCTGTCCATAGCTCTTCAGGCACTCTGTCTGTCAGATCTAATCCCTTGAATCTATTTGTCACTTCCACTGTATAATCGTAAGGGCTTTGATTTAGGTCATACTTGAATGGTCTAGGGTTTTCCCTGCTTTCTTCAATTCAATTTTCTTGAATTTGGCAATAAGTTCATGATTTGAGCCACAGTCAGCTTCCAGTCTTGTTTTTGCTGACTGTATAGAGCTTTGCCATCTTCAGCTCAGAATATAATCAATCTGATTTCAGTATTGACCATCTGGTGACGTCCATGTGTAGAGTAGTCTCTTGGCAAAACTCTGTTAGCCTTTGCCCTGCTTCATTTTGTTCTCCAAGGCCAAACTTGCCTGTTCCTCCAGGTATCTCTTGACTTCTTATTTTTGCATTCCAGTCCCTTATGATGAAAAGGACATCTTTTTTTGGTGTTAGTTCTAGAAGGTCTTGTAGATCATAGAACCATTGAACTTCAGTCTGTTCGGCATTAGTGGCTGGGGCATAGACTTGCATTATTGTGATACTGAACAGTTTGCCTTGGAAATAAACAGAGATCATTCTGTCATTTTTGAGACTGCACCCAAGTACTGCATTTTGGACTCTTTTGTTGACTATGAGGGCTACTCCATTTCTTCTAAGGGATTCCTGCCCACAGTAGTAGATACAAGGGTCATCTGAATTAAATTCGCCCATTCCAGTCCATTTAGTTCATTGATTCCTAGAATGTTGACATTCACTCTTGCCATCTCCTGTTTGACTACTTCCAATTTACCTTGATTCATGAACCTAACATTCCAGGTTCCTATGCAATATTGGCATCAGATATTTACAGCATCAGACTTTACTTTCATTACCAGTCACATCTACACCTGGGCGTTGTTTTCACTTTGGCTCCATCTCTTCATTCTTTCTGGAGTTATTTCTCCACTCTTTTCCAGTAGCATACTGGGTACCTACTGACCTGGGGAGTTCGTCTTTCAGTGTCATATCTTTTTGCCTTTCATATTGATGTTTAAGTTTGGGATAGTTTCTCTTTGTCATCTAAAACTTTAATTTTCCATTATTCAATGTACAATATTTTTGCAATATAATTTCCTGAGCATAATCCATAATTTTTAAAGAACATATTTTCCATGATTTGGGGGACATATTTAAATATTTTTTCTTGTGATTCTAAAGAACTTTTATATTCTTTAACAATCAAAAAAAAAACTGTCAAGGTTTTGTTATTAATTTCCTGTCTCCTTTCTTTTAGTTTATTTTTTAAATTTCTACAAAATCTTTTCTAGAGTCGTGGATACCACAGTTTTTACCACTTTTTCATAAGATTTATTGAAAAATGACATCATGATATCTGAACTCTAAGACTTAGGAAATAAGCCTACAGAGCTCATTGTTAGCCTCTCCATTTAATGAAGATACAGGAATAATTGCACATAGTTTTTGTAGTCAGTGGTGTTAGACTATCTTATTTGGAACCTGATTTTGCATGGTGGCTTCAGGGACACAGACTTTAGGATTAAGGCCTTTAGGAAGGAAGAGGTCACACTGTTTCTTGCTCTGGTTTTTCCTCTCCTTTTTTTGCACCTTTGTATGAATGTGAACCAGTTTCCCAAATCCACGACTGGTTCCTGGGCTTCCTCAACCCACCTAGAAACTGCAGCAACCTGGAAGGTGTGTCATTTAACTGACAATACTCTTGATTAGGAGTACAGGCCAATTATATAACCCTATGGTTACTTTGATTTGACTTGTTTTTAAAATTCATCTCAATAGCACATTTACAGACTGCTCAGTTCAGTTCAGTTCAGTCACTCATTCGTGTCCGACTCTTTGCGACCCCATGAATCGCAGCACACCAGGCCTCCCTGTCCATCACCAGCTCCTGGAGTTTACTCAAACTCATGCCCATTGAGTTGGTGATGCCATCCAGCCATCTCATCCTCTGTTGTCCCCTTCTCCTCCTGCCCCTAATCCTTCCCAGCATCAGGGTCTTTTCCAGTGAGTCAGCTCTTCGCATGAGGTGGCCAAAGTACTGGAGTTTCAGCTTCAGCATCAGTCCTTCCAATGAACACCCAGGACTGATCTCCTTTAGGATGGACTGGTTGGATTTCCTTGCAATCTAAGGGACTCTCAAGAGTCTTCTCCAACACCACAGTTCAAAACCATCAATTCTTCGGCGCTCAGCTTTCTTTACAGGCTGTTAGGATGTGTCAATTCTCCAGATGACTCATCTCCTCTTTAATTGGGCCATTTTTCTGTGTAGATGCAAAATATGTAGTTGGGAGGTAGTTTAAGAGCATAAATTGAGTCTCTTTAACTTTATTTTCAAGGTAAGGGATCATCAGATTTAAGCATACTGCTATAATTGTTTTTAAACATACTTTACATCATATAATTAACATAATATATTACCTTTGCTTAAAAATAAAGGATGCAGAGTACATCATGAGAAACACCAGGCTGATGAAGCACAAGCTAGAATCAAGATTGTTGAGAGAAATATCAATAACCTCAGACATGCAGATGACACCACCCTTAAGGCAGAAAGTGAAGAGGAACTGAAGAGCCTCTTGATGACTGTGAAAGGGTAGAGTGAAAAAGCTGGCTTGAAACTCAACATTCAAAAAATGAAGATCATGGCTTCTGGCCCCATCACTTCATGGCAAATAGATGGCGAAACAATGGAAACAGTGACAGACTTTATTTTCTTGAGCTCCAAAATCACTGCAGATGGTGACTGCGGCCATGAAATTAAAAGACACTTGCTCTTTGGAAGAAAAGCTATGCCCAAGATAGACAGCATTTTAAAAAGCAGAGACATTACTTTGCTGACAAAGGTACGTAGAGTCAAAGCTATGGTTTTTCCAGTAGTCATGTATGGATGTGAGAGTTGAACCACAAAGAAAGCTGAGCACTGAAGAATTGATGGTTTTGAACTGTGGTTGGAGTTGGAGAAGACTCTTGAGAGTCCCTTGTACTGCAAAGAGATCCAACCAGTGAATCCTAAAGGAAATTAATCCTGAATATTCATTGGAAGGACTGATGCTGAATCTGAAGCTCCAATACTTTGGCCACCTGATTCAAAGAACCTACTCATTAGAAAAGACCCTGAAGCTGGGCAAGATTGAAGGCAGGAGGAGAAGGGGACGACAGAGGATGAGATGGTTAGATGGCATCATCGACTAAATGGACATGAGTTTGAGCAAGCTGGGGTAGATGGTGAGGGACAGGGAAGCCTGGCCTGCTGCAATCCATAGGGTTGAAGAGTCAGGCATGACTGAGTGACTGAAGAAAAAGAAAGGGTTAATAAAGACCCTCAAAGTCCCCTTTCACCATGCCCTCCATTCCTCCTCTCTAGAGGTAACTATTATCATTCTGACCTTTCCAGTGACCTTTCTACACATTTCTTTTCTATTCTACTCATTCTATTCTATTCTTTTCTACACAAATACACACCTTTTTCCCCTTGCATGAGGAAACTGCGACCTTGAGGGGAGACATGTTGCAAATTTATTGAAGGAAAGCGGACTGGACAATCGTTTATTAAAACCTACAATGTGTCAGACTCTGAGCCCAGAACTTTATTTGCACTAATGATCCTGGTATTTTACTTCTGCTGGATGGGCTGTCGCACTAATCAGTTTGAAAGTTGGGAAGCAGGTGCAAAAGTCGCCTCAGTGTAGTGATACAGGATATGTACTTTGATGGCAGTTGCAGGAAGCCTAGCAGAGGGCTCCAGAGTTGCAAAAACAACAAAATACACTGTCATCCGAAGTTGGGTCTGTCAAAAAAAAAAAGCTTGTGAAGCTGAAACGCGAAACGTCTACTACTCACCAAGACCTTCGGAAACTTAAGAACCGATAACGCATCTATGAGATTAGTCTTGGAGCTCAAAGAAGGCACCAGAGGTCGCAAAGGATGCGGTGGCAGGCAGCAACAGAGCAGCCAACCGGGAGAGCCGAGAGCGTTCCCGGACCGGTCTGGAAGTGCGCCTGCGCTGATTGAAGCGGGGAGGCGGGGCGGGGGGGCGGAGCTTGGGGTGGTCAATGAGCCTGCGCAAGCCGTGAGGCGAGTTGGGGGAGGGCGTTCCGTGTGTGTCTGTGTTGTTGTTCGGCGGCGGCGGCGGCGGCGGTAAGATGGCTGCCCACGGGGGCTCCGCGGCGTCGTCGGCGCTGAAGGGGTTAATTCAGCAGTTCACCGCCATCACCGGTAAGAGACGCGGTTACCGGAAGGTGGAGAGTGGGGTCTGGAGCGGGCGGCCGGTGTGCCCAGGGCTTCTCTTTACCTTCATGTATTCTTCCTTCGGGCTTTACCCACAGCTCCCGTCCTCCCTCCTGAGGAAGAAGCGACGACGGCGTCGGGTCTCCGGGTTCAGGCGGGAGACAGCCCCCCCCATCCCCGCGCACCCCATACCTTCATTCTCGGTTTTCTCGCAGTGTGGAGGGAGATCTCCCCACCCCCTTTCAGCCTAGACTCGGAATGGGCCGAGCCCATCCGCCCCCGCCGGCCCGGGGACCTGGGGGCGGGAGAGGTGGGGGGCCGCACCCGGGCCACCGCCCTCCTCCTTCATCATCATCTCCTCTTCTCTTTGCAGCCTTGGGGTGCAGCGCATCCCCTCACCTCTTTTCCCCTTTTTTCCATGGCCAGGTCATTCTTCACCCGTCCCTGGCCTGCCCTTCCCCTTTCTGGGCCCCTCGGAGCCATCGCTGTGGCCCTGGCGTGTTCGGGCCCTCCCGCCTTAACGGCGAGGCTGGTGGGTTCGGCAGCGCCTTTACCGATCTCGGGGGGTAGGCCGCCAGAAAGCCGGGGGTGCTGAGGAGTACCCTCCAGACTGAGGTTTTAAGAGAAGAATGAGGGGGAACCCCCCAACCTTAATTGGAAAGACCTGGAGGAATCCTTGGTGGCGTTTCCCACCTCCCCATAATAAAATAAAGACTGAAACGATGGCGCCCAGGCCTCCTGCTGATAAAATAGGAATGACGGCAAAAACTTCTTTGAGACAAAATCGGTTTTTGGATGTCAGTATCCCCTAAATCCTAGGTTTTTCTTTTCGTTTGGACCCCTGCGAAGGGCACACGCAGATCCTCTTACTGCCTGGAGGAAAGGCCCTAAACCATTCTATGAATTCTCTGTCTTGTTCTCTCTGATGGTGCTGAACTTTTTTTGCATGAGTTATTAGAGGGCGGAGCAAATGATGAAGTTCTCTGTGGAGTGATTTGAGAAGAGTACTCCATGTGCCTGAGTGTAATTTTGCCGTTCTAGTTTGTCCTTTTGCAAGGAGGTCAGAATGTTAGCAGATCTATACTTTAACTGGTAGTTTGTTAGATGCAGAGAACATTGCCACTTTTAGTGTATCCAGGGTTTGATATGCAGGATGGTTAAGTGAAATTTTATATTTTAACCACTGCCGGTTGTTTTGCGAGCTGCCGTTCCATGGTTAAAGCTAGTTTTTTTACTTTGCAAGGATAACTAGATGTTCGATGCATTGTCTGGCTTGTGGGCATGAAGCATCAGGTCAAAGTTGATAAACTAAAATTTGTAACAAAATTGGGATGAAGAATGGATTGATAACTTTTCTTAATATTTTAAAATTGTGTTTGGAGTATTATATTAGAGATACAATGCATTTCCCAGTGTATAAGCAGGTCATTATTGGGAAAATTAAAAAATGATTGTGTATATAATACATTGTATTTATACAGAAAAATCTTTGTAGTGAATCAGATATAAAGGTGATTATTGTTATCGTTTCTTTTAGATTTTCTAGAGATGGTTTAAGATACCGCCTATTTAATTCCAGTTTTTTGGCTAACTGCTAACTACCACTTCAGGAATTCAGATTGTGTTAGACTTAAATTATTTTTTTTAATGCAACATTTTTGGTAGGCGTAGACAAAACCCAAATGTGGTGAGGTGAAGTGACTCACATAATTGCTTTAATTCTGTTTCTGTCTGCCAGTCTTCATGACTTCTTTTCTGGTCACAGGCCTTTCTACTCCTGAATCAAGTTGGAGACCCTCAGTAGACAGTGGTATCTGGAATTCTGCAGAAGGGATAATACCTTAGGTTATTCTTAATGTATTATGGATTTCTAATAATAATTTTTTACAAGATTGTAATTAATTATTAGAAACACATAATTGACCCCTTTAGTCCATTTCATATATCTTAAAAAAATTGGTGGGATCTGCCCATATATATTTTAGATTGCAATATTCATGACAAAAAGATATTTGAAATTTATTTATTGCTAGATGAATGAAACTGACCTTAAGAACTTATACTCTGTTTCAGAAAGATTTTACTTATTTGGAAGCCCAACATTCTGATAAAAGCAATGCATTTTCAAAAATGTGAGTCTTACCTCTTCTGTGGCATTTAGAAGTAGAAGAGAAAATTGAAGGAATTTTAAGTTTTATTTCTCACTAAATAGACCAAATTTCTCCCTAGGATATGTGAGTATGAAATAGTGACTCAGACTTTTAAAAAGTACTAAAAAGACATCTTAACATGAACTAATTTTGAAAAAAAAATCCATTTCACAATAGCAATATTATTTCACATATTATCTTCCAGTTCTTAATTACATATTTATTTTATGTCTTAAATTACTTTAAAATTATTCTTACATTGTGGATCAAAATATATATAATTTAGAATCCTGAAACTTGATTAACATTACATCCTAGACATTTTTCCTATTATTAAACTGTTTTATAAGCAAATAGCCAGGGAAATGATGGTCTTCAAAGTGATCACACTGAGCAGTTTTGTACCTTTACTTTGATGCCATTTGTATTATTTCAGGCTACATAGAAAACCATCCACTTACTTTATAGTCTACCACATTTTATAGTTGCTCCGTTTGATCTCCCTTAATATTCTCATACATGGCTTTGAATGACTGCTGACTACTTTCAGAAGTTGTATCAATTCTCAAACCCTGAGGAATGAATGTGTCACTGGATCTGAAGGTAATTCCAAAAGAACAGTTTTTGAAAATTTTTTTGAATCATGGCAGTATCCCATTAATACCAACTTGGGCTGAGATCCAGCCATACATACACAGAATGCATAGATGTAACTGGAATAAATTATGAGATGAAGGAAACATAGATGCTATATAGTGGGTAAAAATAAATACACAATCAGAAAGTAAGACTGAAATGTGAGGGAATAGAAAGTGAGGCTGAGAAGAGTACAGGTGGTTGCTAGTATAGCATTCCTTCATAAGGCTTGGTGTATAGTAGGCATTAACCAACCTTATGAAATTATAGAACCACTTTCCTTTACTCTTTCTTTAAAATTGTTGAATGAATCCATATTTCTTAAAGAAATTAGAAACTCGTATTATTTGGATTTGTGGTCCATTTCCATTCATATTCTGTACAATATATTTTTCTTGGTTAGTATTTGAGTTCTCTGAAGAAAGGTGGTTGCCAGTGTCCTAGATATTAAAAGAAAACCCTTTTGGAATTTTAAGAACTATTTCAAAGAAGTTAATGAAGTTTGAGTAGAAATTTAGGGAGGGAATATATTTTTTTGAGTTGTGAATAGACCCTTACTAGTAAACTCAATGTTTATTAATAGCCTACTATGTGCCAGGCATGGTTCACGTCTTGGGGATACTGCCATGAAAAAGAACGTGGTGAGGCTGTCCTGAAAAAAATCTTAATGGGAATACAGACACATAAATAGGTATTGTAATACATTGAAATCATGGTAAGGAGCAGTTAAGGTAGCACAAAAGAAGGCAGTCAGGAAAGGCTTCCTAGAAGAGATAATTTCTTAGCTAAAACCTGGAGGAGAGATAAACATGTGCAGAGACCTGGATGAGAGCGGCACAGGTATACATACAGAGACAAGAAAGGAGAGATAGTAGGTTGAGGGAATTGATGAGAATTCCCAATGAAGAGAGCATAGCTCATGGGAGATGCAGTAAATAGGGTTGAAAGGTAAGAGGGTACCAGATTAGGTAGGGCCTTAGAACTCATGTTAAGAAATCTTGGCTTTATTCAAAATGTTGTGGGAAGTTAGTGAAAAGTTTTAATTAGGGGAGTGACACAGTCAGATTTGGGTTTTTTCAAAGCAGTTTGGCTGTAGTGGAGAAGAGGTTAGGCATAGAGATCAGTAGAAGACTGTTACAATAATTGAAGATACTGATGTCCTGAAATAAGATAAGGAAAGAAGTCAGAGGAGTCAGAATGAAGTTTAGGATTCTGTTTTCGACATCTAAGCATATATAGTATAATTTGTGAAGATATAGAATAGTGGAAGAGGTTTAGGGAGATGATTAGTTCAGATTTAGATAAGTTGCTGTCTCTGGGACTTCCAAATGGGGCTGTTCAGTAAGGAAATGAATATTTGGATCCAGAAAGAAGAGTGACATCTAATTACTCGTGTTGATGGCAACTGAAGCTATAAAAGTGGATGGCATCTTGCAGGGAGAGTGTCGTGTGAGACTATAACAGGCTATAAAGCTAAAGAAACTCATCAAACAGACAGTAAAAAAGAAAGTGCAAAGACTGGAAGAAACTAAAAGATGTAGGAGGAAAACCAGGAGACTGGTGGTATTTCAAACATCAGGAGTAGGGTACTACCTCAGTATGTAGGCACTTCAGGAAACTAGAAATTATAGATTTTTCTTGGTTAGGGTTGGAAGACATCTTTGTAAACATACTGACCCATTTCTGAGTTAAAATGAGGAATGAAGGCCCAGAGAAGTAAAACGATTTAAGGTTATATGTCTAGGTCAGTGTGTCTCAAACTTATTTGTAGGAAGAATCCCCTCCTCCCTTTAAAAAAAATCTTTATAAAACAATGTATTTTTTTGGCCATGCCACATGTGGCTTGTGGGATCTGAGTTCCCTGACCAGGGATCAAACCCAGGTCCTCAGCAGTGAAAGTGTAGAGTCTTAACCACTGGACTCCCAGAGAGTTCCCCATTGACCAATACTTTTGTAAAACTACAACAAAACTTAATTGCTTAAAAATTGAAATACAAAAAACACATAAAAAATATAAGCCTAAATTATGTTTTTTTAACAAGGTATAATTTGCATACAGTAAAAGTTAATGTTTTTAGTGTATAATGTTTTTATAAGTGCGTACAGTTGTAAAACCATGATCAAGATGCACGACAGTTCTGTCCTCAGGAATTTCCTCCTGCCATTTGTAGTCAGTCCCTCTTCTTACCTGTAACCTAATGT